AATTTATTTAACAACTATCATTCTTTTTTATCAAATACAAAAAATAAAAAATAAAAAATAAAAATCTTACAAAATTTTAATAAAATTCACTACAAAATTTACCAAATTTTTATACAATATTTTTCTAATTATCTTTATACTAAAAATTTTCTTAATAAAATTGGTATCTAACCAAACATGCCCTTAATGCAAATTGTTGAAAATTACCCAAGGGGTCGATACCTCAAGCTAAAGTCCCAATACCTTGATCGATGCTGTAGAACGAAGTCCGTGTCGACAAAATATTGGGTTTCTTTCCTTAAAGGTAAAACAGCAGTGTTGCTCATCAGCATTTGAGAATTTTAGTACTTTAGTCTTAAAACTTCTGAAATCTTTGATTTGGTCCTGATTTCACCAGCGTATGCATCCTTTGACTTCCTGAAATATAGAAATTTAGTCCTCTAGTTTATAATTTCTTTCAATTAAGTCATTTCCATGAAGAATGAAAATTATATAAAATTAAATAAAATCTTATGTAACTCATCCAAATATCAACAATATTAAGAAAAAAATTTCACATTAAATATATAAAATTTTATCACATCATGTAAGATTTGAACTTTTAATTTTTAGAACCACAGCATGTAAAGAGTTATTGGACTAATGCATTTTATAAATTAATATTTTTTGTTATGAACAGTATTGGTGTTAGAAAACATGTTCATGTGAACTGGGATGAGCTTAGATTTTCTCTTACTCCAACTGATTATATCTACAAGGCTAAAACTGGAGACGACTTTCTTGAAGGAACTATCACTCCCCTTGAGAATATTGAACTCAACCCATGTTCTGCTGTTCTTCGATATGGACAACTGAAAAAAAAAACAACATTTATTCAATTTCATTCATTTTTTCAAACAATTGAATTATTGTTTTTTCGTACAAACATTTGAATTGTTGTTGAATGTGGGATTTAATCCTAAATCCGTAATAAAACTGTTAAATGATTAATAGCTACATAATGTGGAAAATTGATTTTCTTTTTTGATGATGTGTATATATAGGGATTGTTTGAAGGTCTAAAGGCATACAGGAAAGAAGATGGTAGTACTCTTTTGTTTAGGCCAGAACAGAATGCTCAACGGATGCAAATAGGTGCAGAGAGGATGTGCATGAAAGCACCCTCAGTTGAGCTATTTGTTGATGCAGTGAAACAAACAGTCATTGCCAACAAGCGTTGGGTAATTACCAAAAATAGAAATGATCAAATGAATATTATTATATTTATCTAATGGTGTGCTGCACATATCGTTTAATTTGTTTAGTAAGTACTTATTGTTTTCTTCTGGAAAAATAGGTACCTCCTCCAGGCAAAGGATCAATTTATGTTAGGCCAATACTGGTGGGAAGTGGCCCTATTTTGAGAGTAGGGGCTTCGCCGGATTATATATTCCTTGTTTTTGCCACTCCGGTTGGTAGCTATCACAAGGCAAAATTTCAAAAATGCTACTTAGAAATAAAATCTTGGGGAAATTGATATTCTCAAAGAAAAGAAATGTCTTTTTCTTTTAATGTGTGATTGTAATGGTTCATACTCTATGTTGGTGGAAAATTGGTAATTGCATGATAGGGTGAGGCAACCATAAACTAGGTTGTTGAAGATAAGTTTCATAGAGCTGCTCTTGGGGGAACTGGAGGTGTCAAAGTAATCGGCAACTATTCTCCAGTAAGTACATCATTTTTTAAAGTTGATTGACAGAAAATGGCCATTGTTTATGAAGAAGTTTCTTCAACTTGGATGAGATCTTGTTTTATATCAAGTTTAGCTCTCTAATGAAGAATTGTATTCCTAAATAATGAGTACATGGCATGTATTTATCTCATCAATCACTTCTTTGTATTAACATCCTAATTATGTTCTTGTTGTAGACTGTCAAAGTCCTAGCTCAAGCAAAGGCTAAGGGGTTCTTGGATGTGGTATTCCTTGATTCTGTCACTGGAAAATATATTGAGGAGGCTTCTTCATGTAGTAGCTTTATAGTCAAGGTATTCTTTATACAATCTTTTCTATGATTTTAAATCCATCAGCTTCCCCATGGAATATGCAAATATTGTTAAGGCTGAACATTCCAAATCTTTGATTATGTTACAAACCTCTATCATTACCATCAATAACCATTCCTTTTGGACAATCTTACGTTTTGTAGGGAAATGTTATAACGACTCCCGGAACAAATGGAAACATTCTCCCAGGTTTCACAAGGAAAAGCATTATTGAACTTGCAAAGACTTTTCACTACCATGGTGAGGAACGCGATATTCCAATGGCGGATTTGTCTGATGCTGATGAAGTATTGTAACACTGGAAACTGCAGTTGTTATGACTTCTGTTGCAAGTATAATGAAAATTGCTGAATGTATGTTATTCATTCATAATGTATGTCACTTTACATATATATATACAAAAGAACCATATCAAAATCATAACTAATTAGCTAACCTTGTGCCTAGAGTCTAGGAAAATTATAACTGTATACAAATATGCTCTTGATTCTAAGGGATTTATGCCAGATTATTATACCAGTTACTGTTTATATATAATCTATCAGGACAAAAGGTAGATTTGACAATTTAATTTGGTATATGTTGGAGTTCAACACTTATATGTTCTCCTTTATTTTTTGTCTTTTTTGTTTTTTTTTATTCACCATATCAATGTTTGATGTAGATTTCAA